CAGGCTGAACAAGCCCAACTCTCTCAGCCTTTCCTCGTAGGGGAGGTGCTCCAGTCCCTTTATCATCCTAGTTGCCCTCCTCTGGACTCTTTCTACGAGTTCCTCATCTTTCTTGAACTGGGGAGCCCAGAACTGGACAGAGTACTCCAGGTGGGGTCTCACCAGGGCAGAGTAGAGGGGGAGGAGAACCTCCCTCGACCTGCTGGCCACACTCCTCTTAATACACCCCAGGATACCATTGGCCTTCTTGGCAACAAGGGCACATTGCTGGCTCATGGTGAGCTTGTCGTCTACCAGGACTCCCAGGTCCTTCTCAGCAGAGCTGCTTTCCAGCAGGTCAGCCCCCAGCCTGTACTGGTGCATGGGGTTTGACCTCCCCAGGTGCAGCACTCGACACTTGCCCTTGTTGAACTTAATCAGGTTCCTCTCCGCCCAGCTCTCCAGCCTGTCCAGGTCCCGCTGAATGGCAGCGCAGCCTTCCAGCGTATCAGCCACTCCTCCCAGTTTTGTGTCGTCAGCAAACTTGCTGATGGTACACTCCGTCCCAATTGGTTCACTGTCTCTATACTGCTTGTGATTTTTCTAGATAAATTCTGTACCCTCTAGAGGTTAATATATGTTGGGTTTTGGTTTTTTTAAGGATACTGCCCATCCTTTCCTCTTTCCAAATCAGCCCTTACAAGATCAAAATTTGAAGCAGAAGAAGAGGCATCTTAGTCCTTACTGATATTTTGATAAAAGTAAGTTGGAGTAATTGATGTTTTCATTTGAAAACACAGAAATCAGTCCTTCAAAGCTAGGATAGACTTTTTCATATTCAGATACTTAGCTTTTGTAAAACCCCATCCTTTATTGATGATAACATATATGATTCTATTCTGATCATATTGCATTGCCTAATTTTTTTTAGAACCTTTCATTTCAAATCATTGCTCTCATACAATTATATTATAATATCATACTGCCCTTTTGTTATTGTTCTTATGTCACCAGCTTTAGGCACTAATCCACTTAAGCACTTATGAACAGCGTTAAATCCATCCATGTTCTGATAACCATTTTACACTGTTCAAGATCTCTTTTTGTCCAGACTTTTCTCTGAAGTCAATGTGTGATCTTTGCACAATGCAAGAACAATATTTAATTCTGTTGTCTAAAAGTAGATATTGGATCTCACTCCCTTTTGTTTTCCTTGCAGTAAGTCACATTTTGTGTCTATAAAATGTTGCCATGAATTGTTTTCCTTCAGTATCCAGTGAGGCCCTCAGAGCTGTATGTCTTTATCTTCTGGGCAGCACAAATCCAAATCCTCATGTGAGATTAGTGCCTTAAAATATGCTTTTGTCATGTTTTCCTTTCCTTCTAGAGTCAACTCTTCTCCCTTTAAAGAAGTGGAGGGAAGAGTTCAGGATAAAAAGAAAGCTTGCCTACCTGTCCGTATATTTATCTATGAATTAAAACCTAAAGCTAAGGTTTTTTTTGAACTTGGATTTGTGATTCTGAACTACCAGCTTTGTTTCCTTTAAGCTCATTTCTCAGATTTCCAGGAAGGAGACTTGCAGACTACTTTCTGTTACACAAGGATTCCTTCTTATGTATGAACATTTCCCTCCCTTGCCTGTTAGCTGTCCTTTAAATCCATGCAGTTCCTTTCAGGCTCATAGAAGACATGCAAAAAAACCATTGAACAAAAACTTATTCAGTAACTTATGAGATTTCATTTTATTAACAGAAATCTACCATGAGTTGATTGGGAACTTGGCTGTATACATAACTGGACATCCATACGAGGGAAGATGTAATTTAATTCCTGCAAGTACTTAAGAATTGCTTGGTAAGGCAAGGATGACTTGGCCAATCTAACACGTATATGATTTTTTCATATGTATTGTTAAGAAATAGCACAGGATGTGTGTGCTGTCCTCACCCCTAAATTTTTGGCTGAAAATAAAAAAAATTGATCTTTTAATAATAGATTACATGACAAAAGTTTAAATAAAGACTTAAAATAAAATAAAAATGTCTAGAATGCTAGAGAAAATAGTATCTACTGCTGACAAAGACCTTCTGCCCTGAGACTTATTTTGAATATGTGATTCTGTCTGTCTGAAGAAACTGATTTTGGAAATACCTGATAAAAGTTACTCATTTTGTTAGTACTCTCTTAATGACAGTGTTAACATTTGCTTCTCTCCTCTCCTCCCAGTCTGAGGTTTGTTTGGTCAAGACTGCTTACTAAAAAAACCTAGTTTAATTTTTGAAGTGACCCCCTCAAGCTCTGCATGTTCTCTTGTGCCTGGAATCTAGTACGTGTCAAAAAATAAACAGTGCAGTTTATTATTCTGTGTCCAGTGTCCTATGCAGTATTTTTCTTTATATTAATAATCCGCAAGTTGTAGAAAGGCTTTCAGACAGTATTTGTACTTGAGGAAGAATGGTGCTAGCGGAGTAGGTTTGGCCACAGTGTTATATCGCTCAACACATGAGCAATATAGTCCTTGCATGCTGGGAATTCTATATTCTTAAAAAAAAAAAAAAAAAAAAAAAAAAAAAAAAAAAAAAAAAAAAAAACAAAAAAAAAAAAAGGAAAAAAAAAAAAAAAACATACAATCAAAAAAAAGAAACCCAACCCAAAAAACAAAAACTGAAAAATTTTTGGAAGAAAACACATCTTAGGTAGCATAGACTTCAGTGATGGAAGAGTTGTAATTTCTAGATTGTTAATCTGAATGCTAAATAAATAGGATATTCTTGGTGGAACTGTAATAATAAAAAGTTAGCAAAATACAGAAATGGATGTTGGTATCATATACAAATAGATTTAAGCAGTCTTTTATTGACAACACATTTTTCTATTGATGTCAGTTAAAGGAGTATGTATGTTTTAGTCTTTTTCATCCATCAAAGTGTAATATTTCTGCTGAGAAATCTTCTATTTTAATAGAATATTTTATGATATGTTTAGGATTTAGGTTAAGGAGAAAAGTGATCCAACAAGATCCAGTGCAGTAATCTGCTTTTGTGAAATCCATCTTAATGAAATATTATGAAATACAAACATTGTGTACAAGATGACCAAATAAGCCTACAGTCTGCCTAGCTGCTTGAAATTTGTAATTTTTTTGTGGCCCCCCCCCCCCCCCCCCCCCTTTTAGATATTAAACAATCAGTTTCAGTAAGTGATTAGAACTAAAAGTAATTTGTGGTGTCTGCAGCTTCATTTTTCCCCATGTTCACATGGAATTGGCAGATAACTTGCTGTACAACTTTGAAGAGAAAGTTGATTACTTTGTGCCTTCTTTTCATTAACTATATGGAGATGCAGAGCTGTCTGCTCAATGACAGGCAAGCCTGGTTTTGGACCTGAAACCTTTAATTCTCACAGATTAGTGATCTAGTACCTGCTGTTACTTTAACAGGCATGTATGTGATGACATGGGCACCTGGGCCTTGGGGTTTTTATTTTTAAAAGCTACTATACATTTATCGAAGAGTCTTTCACACTATAATTCTGTTCCTGCAGATAAAATTTGTCATTTTGACATGGGAAAACAGTCTTATAAGACTGTTCATGAAACTAAATGGGTGTGTTTATTTGACTGTTTAAGGCAGCTGCAAATTTGTGCGGTGTGCCCTTACTGTCTATTTACTGTTTCAACAAATGATCTGAAACTGTTTATTTTAGTTTATAAAGTAGTACAGTACCTCTGATATTTCTGAATACATTACACTGCATAAGCCTCTGTAAAAATCACTTTGTGAGATACAAAATCAGCTCTAGCTTTAAATTTTTTTTCTGTTTTTTATCCTAGGATTTTGGTAGTCTGTTACACTTGGAACAATAGGCTAGTGTGCATTTTTTTGTCTTCATTGGAACCAATTTCATTTTAGCATTTAGAAACATTGCCAGCTTTGTTTCATTATTTTAGCTCTCTAGTTCTGCAGCCTTGGAAGGGAAAGGGCAATTAAAATTTACTTCTGGAAGATGGAGTCCACACCACAATTGTACACAGATTGCAACAGCCAATGATACCACTGTTCGAGGATGGGATACACGAAGCATGAGGTAATGAGAAATTGCAGTCTTGTTCTCTAAAATAGGCAGTCTCCTTTGGAGATGGATTTTTCATTGCTTCTAACTTACTTTTTTTAATTTTTCTTTAAAAATTAGAAATGTGGCAAAGCTGTCACTCGTAAAAGGAATGGTTGGGCTTGCGTAGCTGATATTTTCACAATTTAGTAAAGGGGTTTCTCTGTTTTTTCCCCTAAGCTTCAATTCTAACTTGTATATTGAGTTTTACTGAACTATGTACTAGTGTCAAGATGATTTGTTCAGTACATAGGCATTACTTGAAAGAAGCTGTTCTGTAATTCAACCTGAAAATGATTTAACATCAGTCCTGACTATACTATGAACTGTCTTCGTAGCATACTATTTAAAAGTAACTTTAATCTTTGAAGGTAATTCATGGGGTAAGTTCACTCTTCACTTTTCTGATGTTAACAGATAGTATACTATACTATATTAAAGAATGTAGCATGCTAGTTACAGGAAGCTACTGAATCTATCAAAATCATAACCAAATCAATTAAGGCTTTGAATATACATAATAAGGTGGTTTCCCCCTTGCTCAGTTGTGGTTTTGATAAGCAAAGGAGTGAAGTTGTGCACATCTGTTGCCATGACTACTAAAGCCTGTGCAAGCTTTTTTAAGATACGCTTTATCCCCTTAGCACATAGTAATTTATCACTAAACCAAGAAGACTGATGTCTTGTAATAACTTTTGTTGCCTTAAAGGGGGATGACTTTAAATTTAGTTCTGTGGTTCCTGCCAGCTCAGGGGTGTGGCAGTAAATCCCCATGTTTGCCACCCTTGTGGTTTTTTGCCAAAAAGGTTTATTTAATTTAATAAACAAAAGCTAAAAATACAAATATAATAATTAAGTCACTTCATGTACGCTTGTCATCAGGTTAGAAAGCCCTGTTCTTTGCCCTGTAAAAGTGTATATAAGAATCTCTCTATATATGTATACTTTCATTTATGAAGACTCTCTTAAATGAAGCATACAAGAGAGGAAAGAAAGGTCAAAGGAGAAAGATGTGGGTGTTTTTTCTGAGTTGCTTTGCTGTGATGTTTTTGTAATCATCCTATTCTTCACATATAGCATGCAGACCTTAAGATTAAAGCCTGTGTTTCTGAGCAGAAAATGTTAAATACTGCTAAGTCTGCTTCATGTTCTCATTAGAAGCAGCATCTCTATCTTGCATTAAATGAATACGCTGAATAACTTCTATGAAAGATATATAGTCCAGATATTAACAAGATCCTCAATGAAAGGTTAGCTTGGTTAACAAAACCCCACGATTCTAATTACTTTAAGTGAAGCTCAGATTAGATAGTCCTTGAACCAATTCGCGAGTACTAGGCTATGCCAAAGAGCTGTTTGCAACGTATTTGAAAAATATGTGCAAGCATAAGTCTCATCTGCAATTACACTGTAATATGCCTAGAATTATGTGACTATTTGATAATGATTAGTTAGGCTAGAGGTAGGAGTTTAAAGTCAGGGCAGTATAAACGGTGGCAGTATAAGAAGCAGAAAATGGGGGGGGTAGGGGTGAGGGGGGATGGGAAGGAGGAACCAAGGACAGAAAACTGCTATTATACCAGCAAAGAATAAGGGAGGAGAGATAATAAAGAAGTGCTAGAATAACTACTTCTGCAGAGCGTGCGATTGTGATAGCTGTAAGATAGAGGGAGTGAATGATTTTGGACATAGCAAACAAAGAAGGGGAGGGCATGGGGAGAGGTTGGTGGGAAGACTCCTAGACTGGATTAGGAAGCAATCTTAATCAGAGAAGAGCTTGTGAAACACAGGAAACAGACACTAGGCTGAATGGATTGAGAGAGAGAATTGCATTGGGGAAAATTCAGACTCCAAGAATAAATTCTAAAAAATATGGAAGAAAGAACATGAGAAGGTGGAGCCAGTAGCTGGAGAAAATGTTCATGTGGTCTGGCCTTATTCTTATGATGTAAGTTGGAAATTCAATGTGGGTATTATTGCTGTTGGTAGGATGATAAAGAAAAGCATATTCAAATTTGGAAAAGAAAGGGATCAAGTGGTCAGAATAATAGTTAAGTTAGGCTAAAGGCTTTCATGGTAAGCACTCCTCAATGTACGGTGGCAGTGGTATTTCCTTTTAAGCCCTTATGTCTCCATGAGCAATTCAAGAAGCACAAGAAAGAAGTGAAAGGTGCGGTAAAGGAGGAAAGAAGTGTTTTGTTGCTGCAAGCATGCTTGAGATTTAAAAATTTTCCCATATAGATGTTTCAAGAAATTAAGAGGAAATGTTGAATTCAGATCCCAGAATACCTGGCAGAAAGGCATACTTGAGTGATATCTTTAATGTCTCAAACTCTGAGTGAAGTTGGATGTCCAGGTGATACCCTCTATACTGAGTGACTGCCATAGCTGTCAGGATAGGGCTTGGTATAGGCCTGGTACACTTAGAATCTCTCCTCATGGAGCTACTTTGCTTTGTATTAGTAGTTAGGTATTAATAGCAAGAGGCTTCTCTAGCTGGTCTTCTGAGAAGAACATGTATACAGCACAGGAAATAAAAAGTTTTGGTCAGTCTGTGTTTTCTGAAAAGAAACATTTTTCGCTTAAAAAAATAAAACAGTTCACAAAGTGTTGACAGGTTCTAGTGAAGATTGTAGGAGACTGTCAAATCTAAGCAGATGGTGGCTTTGAGAATGGAGATGGGAACAGGTACAGCCTTTTCATAAAACCGGTAATGCAGTAGTGGAAACAAACAAAAAACCAACACTAAGTTTAAGAGGTGAGGTGTGGAGAGAAACTGATGGAAGCTGATGTTTTAAATATGGATGCTAGGTGGTTAGCAGTGGTACAAATGTTTTCTGAAGCGGTCCACATGCATGAATGTGAGTATGGCTGAGTAGTTGAAGGGCCACAGGTAAATCAGTGATAAATGTCAGAGCTCAGGAATGTAAGTTCAAAACAGAGCAATAATAAAAAGCTGTTGTTCACATCTTGTTGCCTCCCTTGCATCTCAGCTTTTCATATAGGGGGAACTAGATGTCATAAATACAGAATTGGTATAACTATCTGCTCAGGGGTGGAGAAGCTCTTATCTGAAAATATTGTGATTTAGTAGCAGACATTTTATAACAGTTGTTAGAGAGCTGTGCTAGAATCATCTGGAACTACTGTTTCCTTTTAGCTCCAGATGATCCTAATGCAAACAAGGAAAGAGCACAGCTTCACTGCAAGCTGAGAAATCTATACAAGTCACTGTTGTTAACAGCTGGGATTTCCCTAAACTATGCATTAGCAATGGGAACTCTAGGTCTGCGGGTGCTAAGGGGATTATGCAAGTTTCCAGGGAAACAGATTCTTGTCAGTGGAGTGCTGTTAGCTTTTTATAGACCATTTGATTTTTTAATGTGTTTTACAGACAGATATATTGCATAGAAAATGCACATGGACAGCTGGTACGAGACCTAGACTTTAATCCCAATAAACAGTACTACCTGGCTAGCTGTGGAGATGACTGCAAGGTGAAATTCTGGGACACAAGAAATGTCACTGAACCAGTGAAGACGCTAGAGGAGCATTCCCACTGGTAGAACAAATTATCTGCATGCTGTTTTGTGGGTGGATGGCTTATGTAATTTATTCAGCTAATTATTTTACTGTTTAGGAACAATGCAAACTAACTGTTTGTGCTATTGTGAATAATCGTTTTTCTGCATGGAGGAAAGGTTTCAGCATGTAAATGTTCCTTGTGTGATTGTAAATTAAGAGTTTAGACAATGTTAGTCTAATTGGCAAGAAACTGCTGTTAATGTTGTTGGGAGATAGGGGTACACCTTTGAGAAGCACAGCACAGAACTTGGCTTGAAGGGGCCAGCTGGGACACAGGTGTGCTTTCCCAAATTGAGCCTGATCTGCTGCACCTGATGTGCAGAAAAGCCCTTGAGCTGTATTGGTTACAGCAGCTGCCATCTATCCTTCCTTTGTCGAATGGTGGAAATGCTCAATAATTCAGCCCCACTATTTTCATGCTCTTTGCAGCCCTCAAGCCAGAATATGCAAGTGAGTAATTTCATTCTTTGAGATAATATTTAGAGTCCGTATCTGCCACTCTGGCCTGTGGCTGGAGCAAGGAGAGAATCTTGTCGGATGTTTGCAGACTTCAGTGGTTAAAAAAAGATGAGGGGTTTCTATT